TCATTAGCTACGTTATAACTTTCAGATATCTTGGTGTAGATGTACCCTTTAACAAATCCACTATACCACAACTAAACAAGAAATGCAAAGCTAGGCTAAATGCTCTCAAAGCTGTTGCTGGCTACAACCCCAACTATGGTGCTAATGTGAGAATCGTGAGAATGATGTACATAGCCTATGTTAGGTCCTTAATTGATTATGCTGCTCCCATGTTGATATTAGCTAGAGAAAGTTCTCTCCGACCCTTGGAGTTAATGCAAAATGAAGCTCTCAGGATTATTCTTGGCTGTCGCAGATCTACAAAAGTTCTTAAAATGAGGATGGAGCTTGGTATTTCTAAATCAGTGATAGGATTATTGAGATTAACACAGTACTCAGTATTAGAATGTTGAGAAACAAACCAGACACTGTCATAATGAATCTTACCAAGTGTCTAGAGGTAAATACACACAGATCTAAATGGATTGTGAAAATGTGCAATTGCATTAAGTTTTATAACCTGCATGAACTGTATCACTGTAGGCAACAAGAGCATTTCACCCCTCCATGGAAGATGTGTTCATTTAATATCACATACCTACAAGTTCCTCCCAAGAAGCTCATTGCTAGCAATCCCTTCCTTAAATCTCTTGTTAGAGCAACTGCTCAAGAAGAAATTTCTCACCTAGCTGGTAGTAATAAGTTATCACAAGTTATATACACTGATGGATCTAAACAGGAGTCTTCTGGCAGGGCTGCATCTGCTCTTGTTGCCACCTCCCTTGTTAAAAACGATAATAAATTTGTTGAGTTAGGCATAAGAATTAACAACTGGGCGTCTACATTGCAAACTTAATTGTTTGCAATCCTAATGGCGCTAAAGCTAACCTATGACACTGAGCTTGACTCTATCATCATTACTGATTCTATGTCATCATTGAAGGCTCTTGACTCATATAATGACTCCAACAACATGCTCTTTGGAGAAGGCAGGTATAGATACTCAAAAATTAGGGACAAAGGAATAAATGTACAATTGCTATGGATCCCATCACACATTGGATTACTCCTTCATGATAAAGTTGATATGTTAGCCAAGAAGAGTACCCAGAAGGTATAATATAACTTTGGTATAACTGTGTCTAGCATTAGGAATAATATTAGGAGAGAAGTAAATAATGAAAATGATTGTTATAGGAATGCAGTTAGAAGCCTGAGTAGATCTATAATCCACTATGATAACATGAACGTAGATAAGTATGTTTATGGAGCAACGTGCAATGTGAACAGACTGACTGATGTTGTAGTGGCCAGTCTTAGGCTTGGTTACAAGTACTTCTGGCAGTTTGGGAGACACACTGATGATGATCAAACTAAATGTAAATTATGTGATCAGGCATATGGTCACTGTCTTGAACACTATGTGCTTAATTGTCCACTTACTGAGGAATACAGAGACAGAGAGTATAATAACCTATGTGACATGTCAAGATATCTTATTAATGAAAATAAGATACCAGATATACTAAGCAAATTTCCTAAATTTGCTTGTAACAGATAAGTGAACTACAGATATGTAGATATAAATCCATATGTATTCCTGTTAACGCTTTGGGGCCTAGTTCCTAGGCCTTTTGTGTATCCAAATGCTCTCGCGCTACCGTCCACAGGATGGATATGGGGTGCACAATAAACTAGCCACTTCGGTGGCAAAATCTAAAAATAATTTTTTTTTTTTGAATATTTTTCGACCATGAGAATGAGTTTATGATCGGGCCTCTCAACCCTGAAAGGGTTAATTTTAGATCCTATTAAATGTACATATCGAGCCTTTGTCTGGCTACAAGTTTTGTCCATTTTATCCAACATTCACTTTATGGGGGTCCATTAAATTCCATTTTAATTGTAATTTTTCTCAAGCTAACCAATAAAGATAATAATAATAATGATATTCACACTAAGCTGTAAACCCAGGTATCATAAGCTACCAAAATATAGGCAACATATCTTTCAACACACATTTAGGCTTTTGCAGAGCAGTCTGCATGCTGTGCAAAAAAAAAAAAATATATATATACAGGTTTCATTTGTGTTAAGCAAAATGTAGGCACATATAAACCATAAACAACATGAGATAAAACTGGAACTTTTGTCCAGTATGTCCTCACACTGTGGCAGTACGATGGGCCTATGTTGTCTAGATAAAACCAAAAACATTTCAAATATATGATTATGTTCTTTATTACTTTATAAACAATGCTTTCAAAAACCTAACTTTTAAAAAAACTTTGTAGATAATTATACAACCTGAATAATAGAACTTTATTTTATCTTCACATAACAGGTTTATAACAGGCATCAGTAAATAAAAGGTTTACTTCCAGTATGAATTATCATGCATTTCTAATCTGACAGCTTTATCTTCAAAATTTTTGAATATGTAATAGGTATAAAACTTTACAACTTCTAAGCAACTGTAAGCCTGGTACGATTTTTCTAAATAAGAACTCATCATCTGATTTATTAAAGGAGTTGCACCATCTGCCAAGTCTTTTGCTTTTGTAGGGAGTGATTTTAGTGTGCAAATTTGGCACTAATCCCTCTAGGATTTTCCAAGTGTATATAATCATGCATCTCTCTTGCCTGCATTCCAGGGAGTACAGGTCCAGGAGCTTCAACCGTTCCCAGTAATTGAGGTGTTTTATCTTACTTATGTGCGCCATGAAGATTCCCAGTACATTTTCAAGGTCAGCAATTTCACCTGCCTTGAAAGGCACTGTTAATGTGCAGCAATATTCCAGCCTAGATAGAACGAACGACCTGAAGAGTGTCGTCATGGACTTGGCAGATGCAACTGATACAATGTTGTGGTCAATGAAAGTGAGATCCTCTGACATTATCACTTCCAGGTCCTTTACATTAGTTTTTCACTCTATCGTGTGCTTGAAATTTGTTTTATACTCTGATATAATTTTAATATCCTCACGTTTTCCATATCGTAATAACTGAAATTTCTCATCATAGAATTTCACGTTGTTTTCTGTGGCCCCATTTAAAGATTTGGTTGATGTCTGCCTGGAGTCTAGTAGCGTCTTTAATGGAGGACAATGTCATGCAAATTCAGGTGTCACTGCATGTTAGCACTATCGGTCTGTAATTCTTTGCTATTGCTTTACTTTCCCCTTTGTGCACTATTATTATAATGAAAAAGAAGTGCTAAACCACAAGGGTTATACAGCACATCTGGGTAGGGAAGGATGCAGGGATAATGGGTAGAAAGAGGGAGAGGGATGATTATTAGGTTATGGAGTGCTGCGGGGCAGTGGATAGTGTAGGGGTAGAGGGTAGCTATAGATTAGGGTAGAAAGGACTGAGGAGAGTGCTAGAGGCATCGTCATCAAAGTTTGTGTAGTAAATCAGTTGCTGTCAAAAAGTCAATGAGAGAGTCTGGATTAAATGAGCCCCCCTTTGTGGAGTGGGGCTGTATCTGTTATTTTTAGCAGCTGTGGGATGATCCCTATGTCTATGCTCCCTCTCCAAAGAATGTTAAAAGCACATGATAGGGGCTTGTTGCAGAGCCTGATCAACATGGAGTTTCACGAGTCTGGGCCTGGGGCAGAGTGCCTGGTCATGTCATTTATTTGAAGTCATGTGGTATTAGGATAATATCAGACGAGTTTGAATCTACCAAATTCTGAGTCTCTCTCAGTATGACTCAGATTTTAGCAGCTTGCTAAAAACTGAGTCATACTGGGACCTGAGTAGCTCACTCATTTCCTTGCTGTCAGTAAGTACTGACACTTTTTTTTTTTTTTTTTTTTAAGTTAGAAAATTAATGTTTTTTTTTTTTTTTTAATATTCAGGGTGCTAGCAGAGATGTGTTGATCAATGCCCTGAAAGTTAAAATGGTAAATATAATTTGTACAAAATGTTTTTATTCCAAGGAATTTCCATTTACACTGTTCTTTCTAAATAGACGCAGTTTATCCTTATTATGAAGTTTCTTGTGTCTTAATAAATTTGAGTAATTACTAAAGTTTTTTAGACACTCAGAACATTGATAAGGTTTTTCTCCAGTATGAATTCTCTTATGTCCTATTAAATCATATTTGCGCATAAAGTCTTTTAGACACACTGAACATTTATGAGGCCTCTCTCCTGTATGAATCTGCATGTGCTTTACTAAATTAGAGTTTGTTTGTAGATCTATTAGACACACTTTACACTGATGATACAGAGTTTTTCCTGTATGACTTCTCATGTGTAATATTAACTCATATTTTCGAGCAAAATTTTTTAAACATTCTGAACAGTGATATGGTTTCTCACCAGTATGAATTCTCATGTGTCCTACTAAATAAGATTTTCGAGAGAAATCTTTCAGACACTCTGAACAACGAAATGGCTTCTCTCCTGTGTGGATCCGCATGTGTTTTGTTAAGTCAGATTTGTCTTTAAATCTTTTTGGACACAGTGAACACTGATATGCTCTTTCTTCTGAATGAGCTTTCATGTGTGCTACTAAGGAAGATTTGTGTGAAAAGTTTTTTGAACATTCTGAACATGAATAGGGTTTCTCTCCAGTATGACATCTCATATGTGACACTAAATAAGATTTGTGTGAAAACTCCTTTAAACACTCTGAACATGGGTAAGGTTTCTCTCTAGTATGAATTCTCATGTGTGATACTAATGAAGATTTTTTTATAAACTCTTTCAAGCACTTAGAACATTGAAAGGTTTTATTTTCAGTATGAATTTTCATGTGTGATACCAAATGAGACTTTATTGAAAAGCCTTCGATACACTTTGAACATTGATATGTGTTTCACTCCTGAATGATTTTTCATATGCTCTACAAATTCATTTTTGTTTATATATTGTCTTAGACACACTGAGCACTGAAATGGGTAGTCTTTTGCAAGAGATTTAATTTGTGATAATGGAGTATTTTGCTTTGTATGTATTATAGACATAATGATCAGTGACAAAGATATTTTCTGCAATGGCCTCTTCTATAGTTAAAAAGATTTTTCTGATTTTTTAAATAATGGCAGCTAATGTTTTTTTTTTTTTTCAACAAGTCGGCCGTCTCCCACCGAATTTAAATATTCCTTATGCTTACTTTTACAAATGATATTCCTAGCTTATAAGACACACCAGAAAATATTATTGCAATGAAGAACTGTTGTTAACAATTTATTTTTTGCAATACTGTTACTTGATGTGACAATATTTTCTGAAATGTTTTGGTGCAGCAAACACCAATAATAATATTTTCTGTACAGAAAGTTTACATTCTAATAGAAGAAATTTATATATGTACATATATATTTATGTGGTTAAATATATTATAATATTGTTTAAAGATTTAAACCCTATAAGAAAATAATTATGAAAGTTAACATAAGTTAAAATTTTGACACAAGAACTTAATACAGGAACTTCAGATTAGCAATGTAAAAATTTGCAAATACCTAGAATACAGTTAATTAGTATTAAGAACTCTTAAATACCTATATTGTACTTAGTAAAAATAACTATCAAATAAACACATTATTAAGGCCACAATCCCTTTAAATACTGTCTAAAACAATAGTAGTATTATATATACTGCCGAGGACGAGGGTATGTATGCAGCAGACAGACTGTTAAAGAGATCCGACATTCGATGAATTATCAACATACATGCTGCATTTCTGGCAATATTTGGTGAAGTATCATGCTCAGGTTTGACACTGTATTTACTGTACATAAGTACAACAGTATTTCTGACAAAGAACCTCTACAGCACTATGTATTAGCACAGCAACAGTAATTCCTCTGTAGTAGAGAGATGAGCTGCAAAAGGAAAGAATTTCACATTAGAGTATGAAGTAATAAAATTTAATAACTTTTGAAGTTATATTTCAAGGAATCACATTTTCTGGTATAGTGAAAAGTACAGCCTCTCCTCACTTACCAACGTACTCGTTTACCAACAACTCAGACTTACGACGGGCTCTCTGACCAATATGCATACGTAAATAATGCATATTAGAGCTGATTTCCTCTATTCTGTTTATTACAATATACAGTACACTACTGTATAAACATTTCAAAATGTACCAGAAATGTTATGAATGGTGCAAAGGTGACATTAACCCTTTCAGGGTTTCCGACGTACTAGTACAGCTTATGCACCAGGGTTATTGACGTACTAGAATGCCTAAATTCTAGTGCCTTCAAATCTAGTGAGAGAAAGCTGGTAGGCCTACATATGAAAGAATGGGTCTATGTGGTCAGTGTGCACAGTATAAGAAAAATCATGCAGCACACAGTGTATGAGAAAAAAAAACTCCGACGGTGTTTTTGGTTTAAAACAGCAACTTTGCACTGTATTTTCATATGGTACTTATGGTTGTATTCTAGTTTTCCCAGTCTCACTTTATAGAATGGAAAAGACATTACAGAAATTGGGATGATTTTAATTGGTTTCATAATGAAAAGTACCTTGAAATTGAGCTCAAAGCAGCAGAAATGTTTGATTTTTACCAAAGTTCAAAAGTAAACAAATCATGCCAAGTGTCCAATACACATCAACTGGTGAGTCTAATATTCTTTCACAAGTGTGCTGATTTTATTTATACCATTTCTACACTAATGCAATAGTCTGCATAACAGTAAATCTTCTATTTTTTGTGAGAATAAAAATTCAAAGTGGAAAGCAAAAGAGATGTAAGAGGGGCATGGGGACATGACGAATGAACAGAAAAAATGTTATTTTAGTGCCAGAAATGTCTGTCTTGCTTATTCTGGACCCTATTTGGAAATTGGCATCTTCTGAAATTTGTGTGAAAATGGCAAAATTGCCAATTTCTGACCACTTTATTGGATAGTTGAAATCGGTAAATGGGTGGTTTCTTGTACTCATTTGATAGAAAAAATGGAGTTCTAACGAAATAGATATGATTTTTGTCAACTAGTACACTGAAATTGGCCAAAAATAGGGCTCAAAGTGGCCGAAATCGCCGATGCGTAAACATCGTCGAGACCGCTAACTTCGCGAGATCATAATTCCATCAAATTTCATACTTTTGGTGTCATTATGATAGGGAAAAGATTCTCTATCATTTCATAAGAAAAAATAATTGTTTTTTTCCAAAAAAATTTCGACCCTGAGAACGAGTTTAGGAGAGGGCCTATCAACCCTAAAAGGGTTAAAACAATATCAAAGATGATTGAAACAAACCCACTACCATTATAGTATGCTCCTCACTTAGCAATGAATTCGTTTACCAATATGGTCTTAGGAACGGAACTCCGTCATTAAGTGAGGAGAGGCTGTATTTAAAACTTGCATAATCATGTACATGATTCATCTTACATCTTATGATTGTTTTTGTTATGCAACATTATACACAGGATTTATTACCAAATAAGAACTGTTTCATAGCAAGATATTCCTTAAAACATAGTTTGAGACACAATGGAATACCACACAACTTACAGTGGTCCCTTGAGTTATGATATAAATCCTTTTCAAAAGATGTATCATACCTCAAAACTATTTTAACTCCACTGGACATGTTTTGCTGTTTAAACAATCTGGGGTTTTCAGAGTCATAAACACACATGGACTTCAGCTTGAAATATTCAGAGGCACTGGCATTAAACAGCAGAGTAAGCCTATCTTTCATAGGCTTATGGCCAGGCAAAAGTGGCAGGATAGGGAAGGCAGGCCAGAGGTGGCAAGGCACAAAACAGACCAGGGCAGAGGAGACAGGGCAAACTAGAGAAGGGTAGGTAGGCCAGAGCTGACTGGGCACCAAGCCATAGCAGATAGGGCAGAGTAAGAAAAGCCAGGGTAGAACAGGCCAGGGCAAGAATAGCAGGGCCAGAATAGGCAGGGCAGGACAGAACAAGCATGGCAGGCCACAGTGGGCAGTGTAAGACAGACTACAGCAGGCAGGGCAGGAAAGGTCAAAGTAGGCAGTGTAAGACAGGCCAGAATAGGCAAGGCAGGAGAGCCAAAGCAGGCAGGGCAGGGCAGGGCAGAAAAGACCAGAGCAGGAGGAATAGTATCGGGAAAGTGTGCACCAGGCTTCAGCTGAAATGGATCATTGAAACTGCCATGGCAGTAACATGTTGACTGAGCCTTCACCTTGAATTTTTTTGTTAATTGTCTTATGACGGATAGATGGGAATCAGACATTGCAGCACAATGGTATCTCGACATAGAGGATATCTTTCACACTTCACTGTGTAACTACTAGTTATGAGTGAGAAGGGTTGGATTCCAGAGGGGCCTGCCTTCTTACTTCTGCTAGTGAATCCTGTCCTCTACAATGTCTTCAAGATCTTCCACCCCACCTTCGACAGTATTTAAGACTATTTTCTTGCTTCAGGTTGGTATCATTCCAGACTATGGAGCTGAACTTTTCTCCAGGCTGAAGGACTGACTACCTCATATCTCCAAGGTTAATGGGTTGATTACATCATCTTCATTTCACTAGTACACCTGCTACTTCTGTATCTGACTGAAGAAGCCTACTGTGTAGACAAAACATTTCAACAATAAAGATACCCAACTGTTCCACGTCTTAATCGTGCAATGAGTATTCAAATTCTATGTTATTTTTATTTGATGGGACATGGCCTAGAAAGACTCACATGACCCCAGGTGAGAAAGAAATATTCATAGTTTTTGAGGAGATCTTTAACACAGTTTGTAATATGTTCAAGAACTGTTGTTGACTGGGAAAATTTCTGTGATTCAGTTTCCTTAACTCTTTCAGCCATACTTAACTCTTTCAGCCATACTAGTACGGCTTACGTACTAGGGTTTTTGACGTACTAGTACACCTAAATTCTAGCACCCTCAAATCTAGTGAGAGAAAGCTGGTAGGCCTACATATGAAAGAATGGGTCTATGTGGTCAGTGTGCGCAGTATAAAAAAAATCCTGCAGCACACAGTGCGTAATGAGAAAAAAAACTTTGATAGTGTTTCTGGTTTAAAACAGTGACTTTGCACTGTATTTTCGTATGGTATTTATTATGGTATTCTAGTTTTCCTGGTCTCATTTTATAGAATGGAAGACATTACAGAAATTGAGACGATTTTGATTGGTTTTACAATGAAAAGTACCTTGAAATTGAGCTCAAAGTAAACAAATCATGCCAAGCGTCCAATACACGTCAACTGGTGAGTCTAATATTCTTTCACAAGTGCGCTGATATTATTTATACCATTTCTACACTAATGCAATAGTCTGCATAACAGTAAATCTTCTATTTTTTGTGAGAATAAAAATTCAAAGTGGAAAGCAAAAGAATGTAAGAGGGGCCTGTGGACATGACTAATGAACAGAGTAAATGTTATTTTAGTGCCAGGAATGTGTTTCTTGTTTATTCTGTACCCTATTTGGAAATTGGCATCTTTTGAAATTTGTGTGAAATTGGCAAAATTGCTAAATTCTGACCACTTTATTGGATAGTTCAAATTGGTAAATGGGTGGTTTCTTGTACTCGTTCGATAGAAAAAATGGAGTTCTAGCGAAACAGTTATGATTTTTGTCGACTAGTACACTGTAATTGGCCGAAAATAGGGCTCAAAGTGAGCAAAATCGCCGATGCGTAAACATCGTCGAGACTGCTAACTTCACGAGAGCATAATTCCGTAAGTTTTCCATCAAATTTCATACTTTTGGTGTCATTATGATTGGGAAAAGATTCTCTATCTTTTCCTAAGAAAAATATTTTTTTTTTTTTGAAAATTTGGCGACCCTGAGAACAAGTCTGGGAGAGGGCCTGTCGACCCTGAAAGGGTTAAATTGGAGAAATGGCCAAGAAACTATTAGTGGTCCAAGAAGTATAATTGAAATAGAGTAATTTTGGAAAAAAGAAAGTACTATCATGGTCATACAGCAGACGGTGTTCAGATTTTCAGTGATATTAAAACGTTCACTGTTGAGACCCCTTATCCTGAACTCACTCTCAGTGTCAAAAAATTAAAAAAAAAAAAAAAATGAAATGACAGAGAATCCTTTTCAGATGATAAAGACACCAAAAGTAAAAAATTTGATGGAAAACTTACAGAATTACGCTCTCGCAAAGTTAGCAGTCTCAGTGATATATATGCATTGGCTATTTCACCCACTTTGAGCCCTATTTTGGGCCAATTCCATTGTTCCAGTCGACCAAACTCATAGCTATTTCTTTAGAACTCCATTTGTTTTATCGATTGAGTACAAGAAACCGCCCATTTACCGATTTCATCTATCCAATGAAGTGGTCAGAAATTGGCAATTTGGCCAATTTTAAGCAAATTTCAAAATAGGGTCCAGAATAAACAATGCAGACATTCCTGGCACTAAAATAACATTTTCTCTGTTCATTAGTCATGTCTCCAGGCCCCTATTATATTACTCTTGCTTTCCATTTTGAATTTTTATTCACACAAAAAATAGAAGATTTACTGTTATGGAGACTACTGCATTATTATATAATTGTATAAATAATGTCAACCCATTTGTAACTGCACGTTAGACTGGCCAGTTGGACACGTATTGGATGGTGACGTCATTTGTTTACTCTTGAACATTGGCAAAAATTGAACATTTCTGCTACTTTCAGCTCAATTTCAAGGTACTTTTCATCGTGGAACCAATCAAAGTCATCTCAGTTTCTGTAATGTATCTTCCATTCTATCAAATGAGACCAAGAAAAAGAGAATACAACCATAAAAACCATGCAAAAATGCACCTCAAAATCTGCGTTTCAATCCAAAAACACGATCGGAGTTTTCTTTTTTTCATTATGCACTGCGTGCTGCAGGATTTTTTTTATACTGCGCACACTG